TTGCGGATGCGTTGCCTACATTTATTGTGGGAGAGAGAGAGGAGAATGCAAGAAGGCAACCGTCTCTCTCACTCATCGGATGAAACGCAGCCATTAAAGGCTATTTCACGCCGATCTTCTGTGAGAGGGTGGTACTTCCATGGTCGATCCAGCGCATGTTGGAGCTATAATTACTAGCCAGGCTCTACCAAATACAATGCAATGTAAAAGGTATATACACATAAACATACGTTGCTATTGACATTTTTAAAATTTTTGTCTCTGTTTGTTCTGGCTAGCTTCTGCAACACCTGACTCGTGAGACGTAACTTAGGCTACGTTTTAGCTGATTTTAAAAAGGGGAAGTTCTTAATTCGAGTAAGTGTTTGTAGAGCTGTTACTCATACATTTCAAGTCTATTTTTTTATCGGAAAAGCATCTGTTACAAGTGACGCCATCCCTGCCGTACTAATATACTATAGAATTATTTTTATGACTGATGATAATATAATTAAGAATAAAATAATGTATCTGCGAATTGCCGGGATAAAATTGTTGGAATCTGGTACTAAACTTAAGGTATATAATAAAAATATAAAAAGCCATTAATTATATTGAAACCAATATTTGTTATTGTTTATAATTAATTACAATACTGAACCTACATATGTTAATTTTGTGATGGCAACATTTGGGTATCAACTTATATTTGAAGGCTAAAAAGGATTCGTATCCAGAGCCGTAAAAACATTTACAAAAATATAATAAAAAACTTATATTTGACAGCTATAGATACTGGCTTAAGCCATTTGTAGGAAATTATTAAAATAAACGAAGAATATTAAGAATTAGGACTGACACTGTACCTCGAACACATTATCCTAAAGTTATATCCATTTGAACCACGTCAGCTAGAGGGAACTTTGAGAAATCTAATGAAACCCCATATTTATGATAATACCTATCTAAAATAGGTGTAAATATGTGAACAAAGCCGCAGGCAAAGCGAGTTTTGAATAATATTAGTCCTAGTACAATTGTATGTATGTGTGTTATCAGTGGTGGCCTTCTGGTTAACAGGCCCGCCTCTCATGCATGAGGGCGCGGGTTCGATCCGAGCAAGATCCTACCAATGTGATTTTTCTGAGTCATATGTACTTTCTAAGAGTATTTAGACATCACTGACTAATGCTGATTCCCAAAGAGGGTTGATGTCAGGTAGGCGGCCGGTCGTAAAAACAAATAGCCAAAACTATTCACAACATGTAAGGCAGACCTTGGCTAAAGTTGGGAAAAATTGCCAGGTACCAGAAAACAATTGTATGTTTTATTGAATAAAGTAAAAATTACGTAACTGAAATAGATGAAATTTTGTACCTACGTGTATTTTAGTCACTGTTGGCACATAAATTGCTATCCCATGGGTCCTGAGGGATCGGAAAGAATGTCCTTGCGAGTTATTCATGAGCTAAAGGGTTTGAACAAAAAAACAACATTACCATACAGGTTTATTATATAAAAGTTACATACAAACATCCAGAACTACTAACGAGGAATCTACGTTCCCGTTACAATGCGTCCACTGCGAATTAATATATATTTATTAAAATGAACACCAAACATATACAATACAGCCAATAATATATAAAAAACACAAACTATCTATTAATATTATTTATATTGCAATAAAAATGGTATTAAAACAATAAAGTAGAGAATATATATACTTGATTCACGTAAAAATATATTATTAATATATTAACTGGACTATGTTAGATCGTAAAATAAGAAAACATTGATTGGGAACACTAGCTGTAACAAACAAATACATATTATACTTAATTAACAATTAAATAAATATAAAGAAAAAGAAACAATAAAATAGATTCAAACGTGCGCAATACAAAAATATTTTAAGTGACGAAACCAGCGTCAACCGTTAGTGTTACTATATTACAAATATTTAGTAAAAAATTTATAAAAACTCATACAACATTTGTACACAAAGAAAAACATAAAATGTATATTACATATATTATAGACAACACATTTATGAGAAACATCGAAATAGCGTTAAGATATATGTATAATATTCTATTTAATTTATAATTTGCTTCTACAACTACATTGCATCGCAGGATTTTAGACACCGAATTTCTATTGAACTTATTTAGATCGGAGATTCCAATGGCAGTAAAAAAACAAGTTATTATTAATAAATGCTATGTAACTTTTGTATTTTAATTATTAACAAACGTCGCTTCTCAGACGAAGATTATTATATCAGTTGAAGGAATAATCATCGTAATTTCTTGATATTTAACACAAAACATTAAATAACATGTAGCCATGAAGGTGCTGATGAAATTTTGCTTTTTAAGAAGCCTCTTCTCTATTATCTATGTCTCTTAGGTCTCCTTTGAATTTGGCAACGAAAATACGAGCAAGAAGTCAATCAAAATGAACTTACTCATCACTCTATCTTTCTTATAAGTTTTAACGAAGTTTTTCGGATATAAAGTCCTGCGATGCAAATTCCGCAGGGCCAGGATAACGAGGTACCACGCCTAGGGTTCACACAACACAAGTATAGGTACATAACGTTAGGCAGTCTTTGGGTAGGTCGGAAGATTTCACAGCGACTAGGTACAATTATATATTCGACAATACCCCAACTAACTATTCCGATTGAGACATCTCATACAGAAACCACGTCTCCATAACATTTATAAGGGACAGTATAGTTTCAAGCTTAAATATTAGCTTTTATATATGTAACGGGTGTCCCATCTAGCGTTTCGAATTTGAACTAACGATAATTTGACATTGGAGACGTCAACTGTCATCGGAGAAGTGTCACATATTTAGTAATAAGTCTGACATTTACGAAATGGGTCGCTATTCGCTTGAGGAAAGCTGGGAAATATTAAAAAATTATTTCCAAAGTGGTGAATCGCCAACGCAAACTGTGCGAAATTTGAAAAAAATATTTGCCAAAAAAGATTTGCCATCGGAGGCATATGTGCGGCAATTTGTGAATCGTGTGCGCGAAACTGGATCACTGTTGGATAAAACAACACGTAAACGTCCATTTCCAGCAAGGTCAACCGAAAACATCGCTGCGGTGGAACAAAGTGTTCGTGAACGGCCATCCACATCGATTCGTCATCGAGCGCAAGAGTTGCACCTTTCTCGGTCAACTACGCACCGAATTTTGCGCAAAGATCTTGCCCTGAAGCCATATAAAGTTCAGTTGGCCCAACAGCTGAAGCCAATTGATCATCCGAAACGTCTACGGTTCGCAAATTGGGCGGAAGATCGTTTCGCCGAAGATGGTGAGTTTTATCGAAAAATCATCTTTTCCGACGAGGCTCATTTTCACCTCGGCGGTTATGTAAATAAACAAAACTGCCGTATATGGGGCACAGAAAACCCGCACGTCGTTGAGGAGAAACCGATACATCCACAACGAGTGACTGTTTGGTGCGGATTTTGGTCCGGCGGCATCATCGGCCCATTTTTTTTTTGAAAATGATGAAGGAGCCGCCGTAACCGTCAACGGCGAGCGCTACCGCGCTATGTTAACTGATTGGTTTTTCGGTCAAATGGAAGAGTATGATTTGGACGATATTTGGTTTCAACAGGACGGGGCTACGTGCCATACAGCCCATGCTACGGTCGATGTTTTGCGCCCAATCTTCGAAAATCGCATAATCAGCAAAAATGGTGATGTGAATTGGCCTCCAAGAAGCTGCGATTTAACACCATTGGATTATTACCTTTGGGGAGCGGTCAAAGACGTTTGTTACGCCAACAAGCCAAGCACGATTGATGACTTGAAACATGAAATTGAAGTTGCCATTGCTGCCATAAGGCCGGAAACAATTGAAAATGTACTGAAAAATTGGACTGATCGAATAGGGTACTGCCAAGTAAGCTGTGGTGGACATTTGACCGAGATAATTTTTCACAAATAATGTCATGAATTATGCTTTCAAATAAATGTTTGATCATTGAAATCTATCGAGTCGTTCTTTTTTTATAGCCTTTTTAAATTCGAAATTTTCCGTGAGACACCCTATATAATGTTCTATTCAGTTTCTTCTCTTCCTCATATTTTTCAATACTGCCCGTTGTAAACGCTTTACTTACTCCATTACACTTTTCTGCTGCCTCGCTGCCATTAGTGGGTATTTAGAAAATAATTTTCTACCGACCACATACTACATACTAACACCGAGTTTAACTTACCTATCCACAATACTGTGGGTCATAATAATTTCATTGTTATTGGTGTCATGGGACAAAGCGAATTTGACTTACAGCTAAAACTGAACGCAATATTATTTTTTTTTATTGATTAGAACAATTGTTTTGTGCGACGTCAGATCCACGCGTAGAATACAAATATATGCAATATTGGCATAATATTACCCTGTATTCGTACACTAAAATTATTCAAAAATTTTTAAAATTTCATTGGAAAAATTATAGGGTTAAATTGATAAGGTTATAAAAAACCGGTAAATGCTATTTGTAAAAATGAAGCAAGGACAAACTTAATTAATATAATAAATTGGGAGATGTTACATCCGACAGTCCTACATCAGTGCTTTAAAGTCTATTTCTAAATTTATTGAACTTCGTCTACGTGTTATAGGCCGTAGATAGAATAAGAGAGTCTAAACTTTAATTCTACACACATCTTTCTATATGACAAACACAGTTACGTCTAGAGAACATGCAACTAGTGAAGAGTTTTAAACTCCTAGAAATGTCAATTCAAGATTCAGAACACTTCGAATTATTGTTTCATAATAGACACAACAGTTATATAATAATTTTACTGTTGGGCATCATTTGGCACAAACATCGTGACCAGCACAAGATCAACACCAGGCTTGAGCAATAACATCGTGGAAATTAAATGTAAACAACAATATACATTGAATCAAATATGCAATTTGGAACAAAATATAATTGCGTTATCGCCCGTAAAACAAGTCATGTTGGAATGACAATTACATCATGAAGTCACCGCAGTCGACTCCGAAGTCCCAGTCGTCGGAGGTTGTGGCAGTGTCATCGTATTCGGCCAGGGCCTGTTCGTAGGCTGAGGCTTCATAGGCTGTGACTCCATCCAGCATGGAGCAGGCCTGGGAGACATTCGTGTGATGCATGATGGGCATCGCGTGAAGAGCGAAGTCGTCACCCTCTTGAGACCATGTTAATCCTGGAAAAATATATTTGGTTATTACTTTCTAAGATTGTACTCATATGATTGTGATGAATTGAGTACTTACTGCCACTCCAAGCTCCATTGGGCAGCGTGACCCATCCCCATCCCTGACCCCAAGCTAGCTCGTGATCCAGTTGCCCAGCCAGTGGTACTTGTCGCTTAATGACTGCCACCAGGCCGCGCCCGTCCAACGCCCCTACAGCGTTGCGAGATGAACGGGAGTACATATCCGCTGATGTTGTAGCTGGAAATATAAATGTTATTGTAGATTAAAAACAATAGAATGTACAAATAAAGAAAAATAACTTGTTTGGTATGTAGGATTATCTTCGCTATGTTGGTCATAGAACTTTATTTCTAAGAACTCATCAATGTGCGGATGGAAATTATTGGTTCAAATATTATTGTGGTTTATATCAAATCGGCAGAAACAAGTTGAGTTTTCTAATATTCTTTTAATAATTAACTTATTATTTTATTCAATTTAGTAGACACATTTTTTTCGTTGATAGTATAAAATGTATCAACGACGTTATTGTTTTAGTTATAAGAATAATGAAATCTTTTATCTGACTGATTCGAATAAAACATTTTCAATATAGGCAAAATCTCCGAAATAAATAATACATATCTAGGAATTACTTTTGTGAGTGAAAGGGGAAAATCCTCAGCTAGACTATAAGATAATAAATGGAGCCATCTGGTAGTTTGTTGTCTGATGCCGGCGTGTGGAGAATCAGAAGATTAACATGTGACAGATGAGATTTTCGTCTTTACGACGTTACTGGACCTTATTAGAAATAAATTCTAAAACAACGAACTCTTATACTTCAGTATTATTTCAATAGAAATAGAGTTTCAATAATGATAGTTACATAGTTTGTATTGGATTGTGTTCTGTCAAAACCTACGTGTACTAAGTACGTATTTTTTAGATATCTTATGTGAATATCGACTAAAACTTCAAGGGTTCCACAATTATCAATTGTGCAGAAGTCCAATCGTAGATAAAATAGTAGTAATCGCTTTCAAACTATTACGAGTTGACAATATAAAGAGACAATTGAATGTAGCTGTTTTATATAGGGCCGAAACAATTCAGCGGAGTTAAACATTAATTACTGCTGTGCTACTTTAAAAGTAGCGTTGTAACTGAACTGTTTTAAAATGTAATACTTCTGAAATAAGCTTTTATATTATAGTAGAATTCTTTTAAATTTTATAATATATTCTGACATTTTCAACAACTAATTATTGATTTCTAGGCATTTTGAAAAGTGTTTCGATAACATAATAAAGTGTTTTGAATTTTAAATACACAAAATAAAGATACGTTTAAGTCGTTACAAATTATTCTATATACTCCTTTATATTTCCAAAACGGGTGACATTTCCTCAGCCACGTGTACGAGCAAATGAGATTATTTCCTTCGCCTATTAATGTTGTAAATGCTGGTTGATGTCCGACAGAATACAATTTGCAATTTACAATTCCATTGTCTTGAAGACGTTTGAAATGACAGAGAAAGAGATAGAAAACAAATGCGAATTAACTTTATAATGTTACTCAATATATGTACTCTAAAATAAATGAATAAAGGTACTTTAGTTTATGAAAAATATTACGTAAAACTTTTCAAATTACACGAACTTTCAACTAAATTAAATTAAATTCCTTAACATTGTAGAAGATGTAAGAGAAACTTCCCCATTACGAGTTACAAACTGTATTGACTAGACTTTGTACAACGGACACGACACTCGTTATTCACGAGACTTAGCGAACTTTGAAAGGTTGTCTAAAAGCGTTTGTTACAAGCATTTCGTACAATTTATATTAATTTATTTAATCAATCCTATGAATTAGTTCAGAAAATATGGCTTAAATCATTTTGAAAACAGATATAAATAATAGTTATGTTTAAATTTTTATTTGTCTGTTTTTCTGTTCGTTGCGTTTAATCTCTGAATTAGCATAGGCAATAAATGCCACTTTTATATTAGAAATTTTACTTTTTTTTATTAAGGTAGACAAAAAGAATACATTTAAATGAAACTAATATTATTCGGATATACTACGCGGTTTATTTTTTATGAAAAAATTACTTACTCCCGACGTTTCTGCTACATTTCAATTGTGATCACAGGCAGACGAGATGTGAATGTTTGTCAGTTGGTCTTGTTAATTATCATATGATCATATTACAAAAATAAAGCAGGATTGGTATAATCCGAAAAATATTAGTTTATACATATATGTATTTTAAAAATGAAACAAAATCAAGTTATATTTATTTACAAACAGTAGTACCTTCAACTTAACGACACAAGTGTAATGTAAGGCGAGTTCACAAAAGTATATAGCTTTAATTAATGTACATAACTATCTCGTTACATGATCCAGTAGGAGCTCGTTATCCCGGACAGTAATTGACGAGACCACAGAGCAGTGTCGTTAAAGACATTACATTAAAACGAATATATATTTTTTATTTAATATATTTTGATTACCATACAAATTGAATGTAATGATTTAGATTCTCGCGGGTTTTATTCATTTAAATGAAACTAATATTTTTCGGATTATACCTACTACGAGAGTATATTTTCGTAAACATCACGGTTGCTGAAAAGTAGCCGAAACGTCGGGAGTATATAGTTTTTTACGAAAAGTCGCCTAATATAATCCCAAAAATATAAGTTTCATTTAAATGAAATTGAATGTATTGAAGCATCATATATTTTAAAATTACAATGCTAAACTGTTTATAAATTAAATTTTTCAAATAGTAAAAGAAGGAAACCTAACAACTAGACAAAAATCACTAAAACAATGGAATAGGATGACAAAGCTACGGAATTTCAAATATCCTCTGGGAGCGCGCATATCATTTCCTTTCTAGCTTGTAAAACTGGCTTTTGTTCAAGAAAACGAAGTGTTTATTTTGTGGTAACTCTTCAAATCGTTATATTAATACTTTTATTATATCCTCTAAAATCTGAATAGACGAATTTACAGATATTTTTTTAAAGCAAGTTTCAATTTTAATCGTTTAAGGAAAGCAATTCCAAGCTTAAATTTTTCATCAATATGGTATTAATAATCAAATTAAGTATTGTTTCTGTATATAAAGCGAAAAAAAATTAATATATTTATTCTGTATTATATGCATTAGTAGTCACAGTAAGGGATAGTTTATGTTTCAGATTATGTACCATTCTTCATATTATTTATTAATTAAGTACCTGATTGAAATAAGTGTCATTTAATTTTTATATATAAAACATTACTTACTTACTATAGGAGAAATTTTCTCAGTAGTGTAGTTATTAATACATACTTTTAAATGGATTTATCATGTAGGTTATATGTATAAATATATACTTATATATGTTTCCAACAGTATTTGTGAGTATTTATGTTGGTACATAATGTATTTTCAATAATTCAATATGTCCTAGGCTTATTAATTTATTAAAGCCAAAATAGTTTTGTAAGCCATAACATTTTATACTATTCTTATTATAAGATAGGAATTAAGAAGTGAATCAAACAAGTCAAGGATGAATCATTATAGAGTATGAACACTAATGTCATGTAGATTTATTTAATATCCAGTCATTATTCGCAAGGCGGTGGTCATCTGGGCAAGTTTAATCTTTCTAGCAACCTCAAACGGCTTTATCTAATAAGATCATTAAGGGGAAGTTTCTGTGATGATCCCCGTTATAATTAAGGTTCAGGAGTTATCTGCCTTACATGCATTAATTCTGATTATCAAGTTATGAATAATTTCGGGCTTGTGAATAAATTTTGTCGTTTAATTAAGGTTATACGTACCTGACTGTTAGTATACTTGGAGTTTCTACTCCGTGAGATTGATGTATATGTGTATGTATGTGTTAATTATGTTAATGTAACAACTGAAGCTATCTTGAGTTGATTTGTTTGTTTGAAAATAAATGAATATTATTTTAATTGTTTTATGTAAGAAAAGGAAGTTATCTGGGATTTGTTTCGTTAAGAAGAGTCGGTAAGCAATTGAGTGTACATTTGGTTATCTAATAATAATTATTGATTTTATTTAAGACTATTCTAGCCAGTTAGTTTCAATGTTATTAATAAATATAGTTTTATATAGATACGGATTCAAATATGTATTTAAATAGTCCACAAACACTAAAGATTAGTTAAGTTTATAGTGTTAATAATAAATACTATGACGTTTTCTTATTATTTAATGAGATACGTAAATCGCTCGGTATGGAGTGTGGTGAGAAATTGTGTTAAGCCTACTGAAGTAATTAAAGGGCCCATAGAATATATGTAATAACAAAGACTGGTTTTAAAGTATATCCTTTTTGATAATATACAATCTTCTTCCTGGCAATTTGCCAGCTTTAGCCAGGGTCTGCGTTACAGGTTGTGAATAGTTTTGGCTAACTGTTTTTACGACCGGCCGCCTGCCTGACATCAACCCTCTTTTGGGAATGCATTAATCGGTGAGGTCTAAATGCTCCTAGAAAGTACATATGACTCGGAAAAATCACATTGATACGTGCCAGGATCGAACCCGCGCCCTCATGCATGAGATGCGGGCCTTTTAACAATTAGGTCACCACTACACCACTGACTTTGATAATATACAATGTTTTTATAAAAGATTATACCCTTGCTACGATCTCCATCGACATGTTGAATACAAAATTGACATTTTAAAATGTATAGTTCCAATTTTAGCATATTATATTAAAGAAAATGTATAGTTTTAGCCTTGAGGGTATTATATTTTCTTCTAATATTTTGTCATTGTTGATCTTACTTATGGTGAAGCCTTTAGTGTGTTGGAGTACTTACGCCTGACCCTGACAGTGGGTCGTTTGAAGGCTGTGCGGAGGTACGGCATCGACATCACCAGTTCGATGTGAGGAGGTGGTGGTAGCTGAAAGATATTTACACAGGTTAAGTATACCACAGAGGCTACAACAGCTTAACAGATTAATGTTTAATTTCGACTCATTATTGGGTTAAATTTAATTTTATTTAATGTGATTCACTTACTGTTTTTGATATAGCGCTCATCCATTCCCTTTGTAAGCGATGTATAAAATTTAAGTAAAATATTAGTATGTATTAATGAATTTTGTACTTTTATGTTTACCTAAGAACTATGCTATACAGTATTTTTATTAGGTGTTTAGAAAACCTGTATATAAAATTTTAGAATATCATAAATTCCGAAGTAAATAAAATTATAGCCTTGTGTACCTACTATTATTACAAGTTATAATTGTTATTAATAATTTGAGTTAAAATTGCGTGTTTATAAATAATGAGCTATATTTTACACCAAATATTCATAAAAAAATACTTTAACAATGTTTATTATGATTTTTAATATAATAAATATAAAAAAACAAGTCTATCTACAAACTTATACGTAACTGATAACGCATTTTATTAAAATTGTGGTAAATCAAACAATGTGTTACTTCCAGGTAAATATTTTCCATTGATAACGATAATATATATGATTTTGATTAAACCGATAGAATATTGAATAAATTATAAATAGTTGAATCTTTTAAAACCTCTGTGTTTAAATTCTACGGAGGGTAGTCTACTTGTCTGCTTGATTTCCGTAATGGTCGTCCGAAGACGTCTCTAGATTCAATAAATTCGGAATGCTCTTTCATTTCCGCCCCATTTTCGAGATTCGAGACTTTTAAAATTAATATATTATGTAATATATACGATGGAGCTAATAATTACTGTGTTTTTATTTAATTCTCGACCCCATGTATCCGTGGTATTCTAGCATCAAAAATATTTTTAATAATTATCGTAACTTTAATATTAATACAATTGTAACATAATTCATATAAAAACATTATCAACAAGTGAGAAAAATTGAATTAAATTGGGACGTTGGTCAAAACATTTTTTTTTGAGTTGACCATTCTTTAAATCAATAATTTGTGTACGTAAACCTTTATAGCGCAGCTAATTGAAAAGTTTCTTGCCAAATTTATATCTGAATAGCCTTACAGTAAATTTTTCTTGTACATTATAATCTGGTTGTTTTAAAATACAAATGAAAATTAATGAAAATATGGCCAAGAAAGAAAATAAAAAAGCTGTATATTCCATATAATATTACTTTATATACTTTTTTGAGCTCTTAAACATTGTATATGAATTTTATTCGTGTTATATTTTATTGTTGGAACCCATTTCAAACAGACGTATCTCTAATAAATGCGACCCATAAAGTTATAACTTGTAACAGCTTTTATCACGAGAGTGTTTTATGAGTGGACCTTATAAGTACACTGACGCAACGATACATAGTCTATAAATAAAGTATATAAATCATTTTACAGTATATTTTTCATATATTGAAAGTATAAATAATATGGTATTTGACTTTTATGCGAAATCACTTTAATAATAAAAGTGATTAAGATTTTTTTTTTAATTAACTTCATAACTTTCTACAACATTATTAGTAGACTAGATTATCTTTTCCTGTGGAATTTTTTCAGACTAGATTTTTTAAAACGTATTTTTACATATTAAAATGAATTTCTTGTAGAGTAGCATTAGCTCCAATTTGAATAAGAACAATGAATCTATGAATTCAATATATTTTTTCACTTATTTGTTTTTGAAAATTTTTGGGACCGATAATAATTTTAGGTTCTATTTCGATTGTGGCTAATGTAGTCATATTCATATTATGTATAATTTAAACGCTATAACAAAATATTTCACGATTCCAATGCGTATGAATCAATAGCATAAAAATATATACTTTATTTACCAATACTTTTTCTAAATATCTTTTTCGAAAATAAAGTACCGAATAGAGTTCTCAGCAATTAAATTAATAGTAGCAGTATTATCATAACGATACAAAAATTCTAGAGGCTTACGTTTGGTATTAATACAATAAGACTTAGTATTGCGATACTGCAGATATGTAATCAATGGAATTATAGGTATATTACGTCTTTTTCCTGTTCAAATGCTTTCTACTTAATTAATCTTTACCCGCCCGATAGACCCTGAATTTGACAAAATTGTCGTGAGAAGTAGCGAGTTCTTGGCATTCATGTAGAAGAAATGAATTCATGAGTGGAACGAAAAACGTTCAGGCAAGTGGAACAGCGAGTGAATCCATGGATTTTGTGAGCGAGAAGGTAAAGTCTAACATGTATAGTGATGATGATAATTTGGTAAGTAAATCCTGTAAATAAAAGTTAACTCTTTTTCTTTGATCGATTAGTAGACATATTCGGAAGTAGATTTTATTCAGATAACCATATTCTTCTTCAGTTTAAAAAGAAATGTACCTTTGTAACAATAAAACTGAAAATTCTTTGCATACCATTGAGCCGGTGAACCGTGAAACAATATCAAATAAAATATGGCACAAATTTAATTACAAAATGCAGGTTCCATTGAGAAAATTCCAGCTACGAGTACATAAAATGTTCATTATTTCTTAAAATTATTTACAGTACGTCACAATCTCGGGTATTTCGCATTCTAACAATGTTAAAGTTTCATGTTATTTATCGTTCCCGTCGAGCGTTGAAACCGCCCAATTTGTCAGCGCCCTTAATTTTATACCGTCCGAACGCCCCGTCACTAGAAAGCCTGACAGTGGTAACACCGACTGATATAGTGTTTGAAAAAATAATAGATTAATATAAAGGAGGAAAAATCTTTAAAAGACATATAAAAAGAATTTATCATGAGTAAAAATAAAAATCATTGGTAAATTTAATTTTTAAAAGGGTTATGTAAAATTTATATCAAATTAGTCTTTAAGTATTTTTTCTTAATACCATAATGAAATAAATATCAATATTATAGTATAGATTTTTTTAAAGTAAATAGTCAGTTTAGATTTCATATAACTTAGTTGTATGGATAGAATTTTAATTATATTATGTCTTTATTTTAATTTATTACTAATAAGAGGACTAAAAAAGGTATGTCCATTCATAACGTATTCAATATTGAGTAAAAATATATGCGTGGAGAACACACCAATAGACATTTTTCCTTACATTTCAGTTCGCTTGTTGTGGGCAACATTTATTTATTACCTAATTTGTCTTAATCTTGAATACAACGGAAGATAGTACATTATGTAAGTAAAGTAACACACCCACGTTAAATAATATTAATGCAATAACATGAAACGAAACTGATATTTGTAATATATTACATAATAAGGGTACCAGGTCCCGAACCCGTTCAATGATGGATTGCTTTTCCTTAAATAAAGCGTTCCGATGGATCCAAGTTATTGTACGGTAATCTACTGTATGTTGCATCTAATAATAATAATATATATGTATATATGAGACGAAACCTCTTAGCATGCAATAGATTCACCGTGCGGGTGCCGGGTCCATCGTGTTGCAGAGAACGGAGCTTCAATAGTGACTGGGACTTGCGACCTACGAGTAGATGTAGGTTTAAAGGACTATATAACGCGCGTTAAATGCTCACCTCCACTGTCCAAGCTCCTCTCTCCATCCAAGAATATGTATGTATGAGAATAAATCTAGAAATATAAAAACGACTAATCTAACATCAGAAATTGAAGTGGTTTCAATATAAGATACAATTAATAAAGACACCCGTGAGCAAAGTCGGTTTGAAACGCTTGTTATAAATAATGAGACAGGATCGCGTTACCGACAAAGATACGAAGAATAATGCCGGCAATTTGAAACGGGGAGACGGTGTAAAAGACTTTTTTGAGATGATAAATAAGTATAATGTTCTTGTGGACCGTGAAGTTGCGTTACGATGACGGCGAAAGGATTATTAGGTTCATTGTATTATGATAGACAACAACTTTAATATGATCAAATCCGGCTTTTTGAAAAGATTCTATGTATATCTTATTATATTATGTATACAAAGAAAATAGAAATAATATAAATATAAGATATATTCCCTGCTTGTTTAATTGTTCATTAAAGTATAAAGTAATTTAAAGAAAGTTTTATAGTAATGAGATTGATAATTTAAAAATTTGTCACAGTTTTTGCACAGCGTTAATTAAAATTCATATTCCGTGAGAGGAAAGATAAAAGATTCTAATCAAACCGAATCAAATCAAATTGGAGCAGTATTTTATGTTAGCTCAATTAATAAAATAATAAGTTTTCTTTAACACAATAATCATTACAATATTAGGCGTAAGATTCTTATGATATGTAACTACAGTATTTTCATACTGTCGATTTGAAGATAAACAAGTAAAGCTATAAATATGTGAACGTTGATTTGTCCTTCGAGAAAAATATACGTTATTTACCGATAACATGTTCAGGAAGGGGTAAGGTAGTATGTATCTTGTATTTTGTATGAGAAATAATTGTGTATTGGTAAATTAAAAAGCTTATAGTCTCAATGGTGTAATAACTTCATCTGGATAGACAATAAAGATCATTCTCATGGGACCGTAACCTTTAACTGTTACTATCCCAATCTGTTCTGACTCCTCGGGGCAAACTATTTCGATTATATTTTACATCATGTTCCCCGTGTGATCAATACATATATCGTTTGTGGTTTTCATTTACATATACTATACAAGTACAAACATTCAGACTTTTTTTAAATATTTTAACTAGCTATACCAAGACTTTGTAAGCGTGGAATAGGAAGATAACTTTAGGCAGTTTTTTTTTATAAATCGTTTGTTTTTTTACATAAAGAATATTTACAATAATGCTTATTTTAAATATGGCTCGTCGCCACTAAAGAAAATAGCTAAGTTTGCTAACAACGGATAGAGCCACAAGCTACATATGGGCATATCTTTTTTCTATTATATCTTCTATGTACAGACAGCGATCTGTAATATTTTTATTACATGTGTAGTTGTAGTAGAATGTACGGATATTTTTCATAAAAAATATTGAATTGAATCCAATTAAGTTTATAGGAACGAGGACTTACGAGTTTTTTTTGCTAACAAAGGTGATGGTTGTTGTTCGTTTAATAACATTGTAACGTTTTTTTACATACGCTCGTTGAATACTATGAAATATTTACACATATAAAATATGTATAACAAAGTCTCTAGTTACACCGCAAACAATAAAAAAATATATAAACAAAAATTGTTAATGTAAGTTTTCGAAAACAAAACACATAGCAATAGTTTTTATAAAAAGAAAATCAGCTTTGGAAATGTGAAACTGGGAAAAACATCCTCGCCGAACACTGTATTATGAACGTTATTCCCTAGATATAAGGATGATAATACAGTAATATATATAAACATTAGTGAGGTTGGCTGAAAGAAGCATGAATAGCGATAAAAAAGGCGAGAAACAAACAAGTTAAAATTTATGACAATATAGATAAAATATTAAAGCATACACAACAGAATTATCTCAATAATGTCTATTGAATTACCCTTATTTGAATGTGAAATCCTTTTTCGATTCCAATAGAATCCATTGTCAGCTCATACTGAATGCATCGCATGCATTAATTCAAATATTCAAGAAACTTCGCGAGAAACTTACACTTACATTTCAAAATTTCCGTTCTGATATCGTAAAAAATTCTATCTACTATTAAATAATGTAGTGGAACAGCAAATTAGGTTTCGTTATATCTTTTTAAATAACCATTATAATAGTTTATTAAATATATGAAAGCATTACAGTAAATGAGATTACATTCAAGGATTTCTTATTCCTTATAAGAATAAGTAATTTCTGTACTAAAGGTAAAAATCCTTACATCTTATTACAAAATGCTGACACGTGCTGCTGGAAAGCGCAGAAAAATGTTCTAAGATATTTGAAAATATCAAAAATGCAACGTACGTGGAATAAACTATGTTGAAATATATTTTCATATTATTATTATGTAGTAATTGCTTTTATGTCTTTGTAGTAATTGTCACCTCATTTCCGAGTCGGATTTTGCCAGCATCCAGACTACGTGGCCAGGGTTTCTTCGGGAGCCGAGAGCCATGAGCTGTGATAGCTTGGTTCCAGGTGGAAGAGGCGGTCGCTTGGGAACTTGACCTGTCCAGCTGGAAATGGCCAGCATTTCTGGACTTTCCTTCACCAGGTGTTTCTGGGTCACCATGCATTTGCCTGAAGCATCCTGAGAAAAGAACAAAAATCAATTCAAATACATGTATATTATGAGTGCAGTATAATTTTTTGTCTTTGGGCTTTAGTTGTGACCGGAACAAATATTAATTTTATCAGGAAACATAACACCTCATATTCAATATTTATAACCTTTATATGGATATAGGTCTCATCCTTACTATCTGTAAAGCACTTCTGTTTTTGCTAATGATAGTCACTTTAATTTAAATAGTACCAATAAGATCACAAGTTTCCACCCACACTACCTACGAAGTATTTCCAATTCTTCATCTAATAATTAAGGTTACTACATTCGAATATATGTGAATGGAAAACTGGGAGCGCTCAGTATAATGCAAAGATCCAAACTTGCGCTAAGTCCGCGGGTGAACCAAGTATATACTCGTATAATCATAACACAGTTGTTTGATAGTTCAATGAGTTAAGATCTCCGTTCCTCTGGAGGTGGGCGTTATTGTAGAACTTCAAAAACTGTTTAATTACTAAACTTTATTTCCTTGCTGCAATGTCTTTACGTATTTTAATGACGTCATTGCAAGAGCTCGTTAACTTGCATGCTATTTGAAAGTGGATTTTAGAAATACATGAGTAATTTGAATTAATGATTTCTTTGGATTTCAATTATATACTTTTATTTTTTTTCTACAATAATAACTTTAGAACGTTTATTTCGATTTATTTTCATAATAAAGACTTTTTGTATCTTTCTATTATTTAGATTCGTGCTTATTGGATTTTGTGTTGTTTTTAATATAAACATTAAATAATATAATGCTAAATTTTCTGGCATGGAATCTGCTACTAGGATAGATAAAAAAATGAAAGAATAGTATTATTTAAATAGGGATTACAGTTCTTAAAAATAAGAAATGTTGCAAGACGCTATTTTAGAAAAGCCATTACTGAAAAATCTCTATTTGGATGAAGAGATTCTGTAAACTGATTGGCGAGGCAGAACCCAGAGAGAAACAGAAATGTATCTTAATAACGTCTTAAATATCTTGAATTATTTTCTTTTTCAGAGAAAGAAAAAATCTAACTATTGTTATATATGCATAGATAATATTATGTTTTATTTCAAATTCAATGATTGAAAGTATACATAAATACGATTTATATATTATATATTTTGACTCAATCAAACTTAGGCGTTGTGATGACGATTTTATAAATAATTATATATATCTAATAACTAAACATTACATAATTATAATATACACGCTGGCATTTCTTTTCCAGAAGAATTCAGTTATTAAAAAATACACTTTTTTTTGACATCTATTAGCTTACTCTGCGTATTGCATTTTATTTGTTCCCATTTTAATTGTTAAGGTTTTGTTAATTCCACATTGGAATTTTTAATGAAAACATTATAGGTACTTTTTAACAAATTAGTTTATAATTATAACAGTTTTTCAATTAAACAAAAATCTTAAATTTTCAGTAGACCTATGATTAATAGCCTATTATATGTATAACTTAAAATATGTACTTTCGTACACTTTATAATTATTTTAATATTGAAATTGAATGTTTTTATCACTTCATATAGATACATATTTTTCACGCATTTTTATCATGTGAATTAAGGATACTTATGACTTACGGATACCTTACTTTACTTTACGGATACTTTACTTAAGGATACTTATACCAAAAGCAATCACTTATAGTGACAATACGTCTCAAAAATCATTTTATTTCACTCCCACTTATATATTGTATATTTATACTTTTGAACTATAATTGTAATAACGTTAAAAAGTCTTTTATTTTTATAATAAAATCCGATATTAAAACTATCAATACGAATAAAGAAACAAATAAAAGTTCTTAGAAAGTATGAATAATTAACTATAAATGGTATAATGAACATTTTTTATGTCGAAACAGCGAAAAGAATAGTTTTATAAGTTGTAAGTTAGTAATTCTTATATAATAATCATACAGCTTAGAATTTTTTGCATCATTATCGAATATAAAGATTCTTATTGTTTTCCTGACTTCAATATTTCCAATAAATTTTATTAGTCAATTAAGAAAGTAAAGAGAAAGATAAACAAATTGTTCATAATATGAACAAAAGCGATGTATTTGGTTCAGCAATCGATAATTTTATCCACTTCACCAGTTCAGATAGACATAAAGGTTATTCTTTTATGTTTCTTCATAAAATTTATAATCCTAATTGTACAATTACATGCGGTTATAACTTTTAAGTTTGACTGTAACTTGTTCTGAAGTTATAACAACTTTCGCGTCCATCATTTCCAAGCTCGCTTAGTCTTCATTCTGTGACTTCTGATATTGGAATCAGAGATTTATGGGCGAGGGATAATAATATGTGGATATCCTATGAACGTTTGTTATTTATGTGTGATATAAGATAATAGTTCCATAAAAGTATCGTAAAATTATTTCATTCAATAGAGTTATTGATCGAGTGAGATCAGCCTTTTTAGTTTATTATATATGTCACGAAGTTTCTGAAGATAAATATCACACATATATATTATATATAAAAGTTATTTTTAAATATGTAGTACAAAAAGTTGTAAATATCAAAAGTAATAAAAAACGACGCATTTTTTTTATAATTAGATCGTAGGCAATTTTAGACTATTTTTCAATGACAAAATCCTTACTTGTTTTTATTTTTTACTTTTATATCATTTACGTTCTAATATACTATAAAATTATCGCTATTGGTTAAGTTTTTAACTTGTATTCGAACATGAACAGTGATGATATTTAAAATGGGGTTAAATTTTGTTAATCAGCTAGAATTTTTAAAAAATTTAAAGATAGATAAAGCTACCATACAAGTTTCTAGTCACCATATCTAATATTATCTTATCTATATATCTAAGGATCAAGTTATTCGTAAAGTTATAGATAGAATTCCGGTAGCATGGCTACCGTCACTGCGTTTCCAATTTACAGACTTTTCAACTTTTGACATTTTCAAACTCAAAATAAGAAACAATTTCCTCTAAGAACTTAGTTCTGACGCAAGACCTGAAAGATATTTACTGAAATATATGTAGAAAAATATTTTAGTATGAAGACTTTTGTTTATTTAGGTTTAGCAATGAATCTATAATCTTTCTGTTATTTTTATTCGTATTATAAAGGGTTGTGTTTCTGTATTCTATTTTCTGAATTTATCGTTCGCATCATTTTTGTATCATTATTATGTTGAGTATATGATAATGGGGTCTGGTTGGGACTTGCTCGTCTCTCATCCGCTTTAAGTTTTTTCCCACATCTACTTGACAATTCAGATCACTACGATATATCTACTAGATTTTATTTTAATTTTTATCTTAAATACTTTCACGATTATTTTAAAGTTACCAGACTCAAAACCAAAAAAATATCGATGTTTTGTAAACTGAAATAATTGAAAAACAATTATTTGTTAAATTCATAATTACTAGACATTACTCATATAAAGACCATTAAAATTCCTAATCTTTAAATCATAATCTTATAGTTAACACTGAATTATTTTGGTCTAAATTGATTGTAAAGTCTACATTGCATTTTATCATAAAAAATCGTTTATAAACTTGTCAACAGTATATCTGTTTCTAAGAATAAAGTGTATAAGCATATCTATACAAACACTTGGTATATTAAAGTAGAAACTAATACCCTTCGTCTACAGACTTCCAATTCCACTTCATTGAGTATCATACAAATCGAAAAAAGCCTTCAATTCAAGCGACAGCGATGTCTCACAGACGCTTACAGAATATGTGATAGATTATTTTAACCGTAAACAAATTCTGAATGAATTCAAATAAAATTTACGTATTTATTATGCAAGGCTCGTTAATAAAGTTTTTAAGATATTCTAAGTTTTATTATTATAAATAAAATGTATAATTCAATTAGAATTTATTCAACTTTGAATAGTTGTTTGAAAAGAACTTCACTTTAACATCGTTAAAGAAATGAAATTAAGAGTTTATTTCTTTTGCTGTTGTTGTTTATACACGGGTAGGAATAATTGTATTTCAATTTAACATTAAGTACAAATACATTTTAAATATATCATATAATTCTGTATAAAGAAAATCAGTTTTATGATATTTTTCAAGGGAATTATAGCTTGTAATTTGTAATATATTATTCGGAATTAACGAGGACGTTAAAATAAATGAATTATTTCGTAATATTTACTAATTAAATCTTCTTTCTTTGCGGTTTTGACTAGTTTTATGTATGTAATATATATATAAGACTTGCTTACAGTTAAATACAAACAATATCTAATTAAACAAATAAACAAGTAACCTAGTAACATATTCCGTTAAGCGTCACATACCCATGGGTAAGAGTGTCGAAGTTTCTCAATCAAGAAATCGAAAACCATCGTAAGTTAGGAGTACGTCTGATTTTATCGAGTGTGTGATTTTGTTTTCCTCTCAATACTTACAGTCGTGAAGAAATTGTAGGAGGAAAATATAGCGTTCATATGTACTTCATAAAGTAATATATTTTTGTTATATGTGACGTTTATAGTTATTATATAAAGTCTTAACAGTTCGTTTGTTCTAGTCTGTATAGTTTCGTGTTCCCTAGCAATGTCATGCATTATTAAAGGCAAGGATAAATCATGCACGGAAAAGTGGTATATTAAGAGTAGATTTAAAATTATTACAACTGCCTCATACAACTGTTACCGATCGCATCAAATGAAAGCCACTCAAATAAATCATCAGTTAAAGTCTATTGGATTGAATGAAAGCGTCGAGACTCTTCACCGGTGATAAATAGTCTTTGAATTCAATTATTGAAAAGATTAGCCTTTTTCTGTTCCATAGACACCTGTCTCGGTGATTGACGAGCCGTCTTTAATGGGTTCTGTATAGCCTCATTATAATGATAATTAGAAATTATTCCAAGTGTTTTATGAGTCGTATAATGTATCAAATTTAAATTATGGTTTTGTTTTGTTGTACGGACGTTGGTTTTTTCCATAAATTCTTTGTGTTGGTAGTAGTTATGGGTATGCATATATAAATATGGTATATTTTGATTTCTTACTCTTAAATGCTTTAGGTATTTTTTAGAAATTTCACATAATAAATAAACTTTTTGCTATAAAAAAATTAAACGAGGATATTTCAAATTTCCCTGTTTATTTTTTGTACACAATAAAAAGATAATTTTAATTAGTTCGTTTTTATAAAGGGTTATTACAACCTGAAAAATTTCTTTTATAAACATATGTAAAAAAAATTACTGGTAATAAATGATATAAACAAAACATAATGTAACTTGGTGTTTAAGGTTGATTTTGAAACTAGAAAAAGCCCTATTACTTTTTTCAGTTTGTAATAACACGTCCTAGCTGATAACAAAAACATATTTTTAATATCAATACTAAACAATACATTCTTTTTATTTAGTGAATGTCAAAATAATTAACCAATAATTAATATGTCACACGAAAAAAGTTTAACTTAAACTTTACTTTCCAACAAGTGTAATGATAGCCACGCCCTATCCAGTCAAATTAAAAAAAATGTTTTTGGAAATTCAAATGGAAATTAGGTCAGTGTGTTAAACAGATAAAGTGCTAACCTTAAACCAGGCCATGGTGGAGTCATCGTAAAGCACCACCCACTCCTCAGACCATGTGTTCCACAAGTATTTACCTGAAACAAAATGTTTAATACAAACTAAAACATCTAACTATTTATACATATATGATAAGTAACTTGAAATGATTCAAGGTTGAAACAAAATATCGACCATTTCTTACGAGGATTACAAAATGGTATTAAATAAATTGGTTTAAATATCACAAATAATACCGAAACATATTTTTTGGGTCTAAAATTAAGTTTTTTCGTTTTAGAATGAAATAATACTAATTCAACTGTCATGAGATTAATGGAGATGTTCATTTTAGAATAACAATGTGTTATTATTAATTTAAATTCTTATTATATCACATTTATTGCAACTAAGATTTCTTCGTAAATCTTCTTAATCAAAACAGACAGAGAGTTTTTGTTAGAATAAAATACAATATATATTATGATTTTATTTAGATTATTTGAAATAAAGCCTAAGAACAAAAAAGTACGGAAAATATATAAACAGTAAAAACAACAAAGTTATTTATTATAAGTTAAACTGACAAATAAATTAGACTTCTCAGTGTCCGGGAACGAACTAGCACTTTGGAAAATCCCCGCATTCTGAGATTATTTTTATTTATTTTTTATTAAATCTTATCTCTTGGTTTTATTTTCGATTCTTCTATAAATTTTGTATTATCTAATCTTATTAATTACTTAACCATTTTTACAATAAAACAATAATGTTGTTTTGTTTTACACTAAAAATGACTTTAAAGGTCAAAATACAGAGTAAACCACCTGTGATGAAAAGACGTAGAACATTAGGGACCATTTTTGCAAAAATAGTAACTTTTAGAGATTTCGCTATTACTATTGCAGGCTTAAATTTACTTTTGAATATTACTTTAATTAATACTTTAATAAATGAAATCGTAAATTATTTATACTTTTATAATTTTATTATGGTTTGATTTAAGTTTTCTTCTTCTTGTTTTATATATTATTATGTATAGAAAATCAAAACTAGATTTTTTTTGGAATCAGAAAACTTTTATAATTTATGAAAAACTTTACAAAAAATGTGTAGTAATCGGAATACATTAGTTTCTTTTAACAGAATGCATTCTAATAAATACTATTCATTTGAAACGTTTATTCTACTATGAGTATGAGCTACTTGGAAGTTACTCCTGCAATCTCATTACGTGTGGCCCTACAGCCGAAGTCTCCTACCGCTCAGTTAGTCCTACAGCAGTTTAAGAATATTGAAGATTTTATCTACATAAATTTTTATACTCTAAACTAATTATTATTAAATGCCATTACTAAGAACAAGGCTTAGACAAAAGCAAAAAAACAACAAACAAATCTACTTTATGAAAACGGCACTACATCTATCTCTATGAATAAACCAATCACGTAATTGCAAAGATGGGATCTCGTTTATAACCACCAATCAGATGCTGTATCATGTTTACAGATATTAATATTTGTTGGTGACGGCAAATATTAATTACTAACTGCTTCCCGCAGCTTCATCCAGGTACCCAGATGTTATGGATGAATAATTAACATAGAAGCATTAGTTTAGTATTTGAAATATATTGAAACGTTTGAAACTTTCATAAAGAATGTACTGGTGTGTAAAAAATATTTTTTTTATTCCTCAAATTATATAAAACTATTTGAATTACAAACTATTTATGTTTGTATTAGAATTTCTTTAAATACTTTCGCAAAAGCTATACTTGTTAGACATCTTTCGATGGAATCAAATATCAGTTGGATTCGAATCTAAGTAACAGGACAAAAAATAGCCCAATAGTCTTCTCAAAAGACTGTATTCTTACTGTTTTACTCATATGTATAATTTAAAAAGTATAAACGTGGTTAAAAGGAATGATAAACATAAATTATTTTAAAAATATTACTATATTAATAAGAGATATATTACAAAATGATTTCAAAGCAAATAATTCAATTATCGTTTTCGGGAAAGATTTAAATCCAGCTCCGATGTACTAACGATCCACAGAAATATAATAATATAAATCTCACAAAGGCAAATGGATTATCGGTTACATATAAAATATATGAAGTTGATGAATATCTGCCGACGGAGGGTAATACGAGGATGTACCAATATCGCCTGGGTCTATACTCTATACCGACGACTCCCAGTTTACTGAGGCATTATTGAATATGACGAATATAAAATAATATATACATAAGGTTATGATCGTTTCTTTAAGCAATAAACAAAAAATGTGATACGTCTAAAACAAAAAGAGAATCAACAATTAAATGTCCATGATTTCTTTGGCTGTACTTTGCACTGAATTAACGATACGAAGCTACTTATATTGATTGTCAAATTAGTTGTCATTGTCAGAACTTGTCAAACGATGCTTTCACACACATATATATATTTATATATTACAAACTCTTAAAATATATTAGTGTATAGCCTATTAAGATTTCCTCTTAAATATTTTGTGTATATTTTATCTATAATGATATTATTTTGTCTATAGCAGGAGCGCGTAATACGACACTACTTATGGAAATATTCCATTGACAGGAGATAACAATGAAACATATGAAATGGATGCGAAGAATTGAAGTTTTATAATAAAAATATTCTTATATATAAAACTATTCACAACATGGTTTGAAAAGAGCCAATTAAAAAGAGTATAGTAGAGTAGCATTCCCTGATACATCACCTCAATTATATTTTTTTTTGTTTAGAGAAAAAATGTCCTTCTCTTACTATCTAGGTACCTTGTACACTCGTAGGACGATTTTCTAATCCCACTACAATCAAAAACTAATAATAATTGTATATTTTATTCTAACAGATAATAAACTTTAAGAATGTTTTTAATACTTATATATTTCCTAGAAATAAAGATGTAAGAATTTATTTTTTATATTTTACATCTATGATATTAACATTGTTTTTTACCTTACGTATCAATTTTGTATACGGCTACTGTAAATAACATTGTAAAAAAAATCCCATTCACAAACTTTAAAGGCGAAAATAAATATTTAAACATACATTCTTATAAGTTCTGTCATTGATTTGTGAATATTGAATATATGTATGAGATTGTCAACTCATTGTAGAACAGCGTGAATGATTCGCGGCCCCATTGAAAATCTTAGATATCTGTTTAAAATGCTGTGCGATTGTCGGTAGATGTAGGTCACTGTGGGAGCTCTTGTTATGTAAGAACTAGGCCACTCCTACACCTGTACGCGTTCACTCAAAGATCTATGGACATGATGCTATGCAAGTCAAATGTGACATCCATACCTCGCGTTGATTGTAGACTAGGAATGACAGATTGTAGACTAGGAATGACAATATTATTGGGAACGTAATGAAATCTGTTGCTTGTTGGTTTACACATACAAAACACCATACTTATGCCTTATCAGTATATTGTGCTTTGGTAGTATCGGTTATATTTCTAAAGCCTTTATATTGAAAATATTACATATTAATAAATATTACTTATAAATATTACGACTTTCTTTTTATTCAACTTGATCAATTAGTTATTTTGTCTAGTATAGATCTGACGTAACATAAGCTCTTTATTAAATATATATAACAATAATAAAATATAAGAATATGTAAAAGATTTTAAAGGCAACAAAAATCAAATTAATTAACAAAGACCTGAGAAATATTTTGTCCCTTTAATTTCTTTTTAGTTTTTTTTAAATGGATATTTCGTCATATTTCATAGAAAATAAAATTAATAACTTATTTTTTTTTTGTTATTTTCTGATTGATTGCTTGCGAGAAGTTTATAAAGCATATTTCATTGTTGAAATATATAACAATTATAGGTTTTCAGATGAAATGAAATTGAATTATTAATATAATCAATATCACAACGTTTCTATAGCGAGAGACCTTTATTCTTGGAAGATTCAGGTTAGGAGATCAACCGGTCTTTTGTCTATAATTAGCTGGTTTTGTGACAGTCTGTTTGAGGTTTTGGGAATTTGAACTGGGTTGAAACCTGACATAATCTTTGTCATTTAAATTACGTTGTCTGTTTGTTCAGCTGGACCCAGAATATACTTCAAATGATTTTTGTTTGCTATCCTTATAAATTTCTAAAGTTATGGGTTCAAAAATGTACATGAATTAAAAAATACAAATATTGTTATCAGTTTTGGAAAGTTATTTTGAATTTTATTAAAATTTCAAAATGATTATATCTTTTCATATTTTTTTTCATTTTGTTGTAGTTAAACAAAATTTAATTTCATAGATATAATTTTGGTATTATAATTGATTATTATTTTATGTAAAACAATACATGACAATTGAAGAATAAACCGAGTTTCACTGTTTTTATTGAACAATTCTATAAATCTATAAAAGTTAACAAAATACTCCACATAGCATATAACAACATAATACTTATATACAAATGTACACATATATATATATGTGTGTGTGTGCGTGCGTGCGTGCGTGCATGCGTGCATATGTGTGTGTGTACATTAAACATATTATAATATACATGATAAAAGTCTCTTAATGATAATAATAATTAATTCAACTTACGTTTGTATCGAAGCATGTAACCTCCTTTAATCTGTGTAGCGCCATGTTCTGTAATAAAATAAGTTTGTATTAAAAACCATGTAGGTTACTTATGAACACATTTTTTTTCCTAAAGTTTAAACTTATAGTTAACATTTAACGTGTAATATAAACAATATATTTTGTAAAAGAACTAAATCTTCATAGTCTCTCAAATAACAATGATCCAAAAACTATAGATAAACGACAAATTACCGCTCATTCTATTTAAAGTTTTCCCATTTGTACGACTGCGTTCTATTACACTTGGACTCTTAAATAAATAGCGACAGAGGAAAGTTCCTCCGACGATATTTTTAAACGAAACTCAGTCAGCATTTTAAAATTTTAAATTTCTCTTTTCAGAGATGTACAGTTCAATGAACCGTGACTCATAATAAAAGCACAAATATAATTCCTGGATAGAATGTTTGGTAAATTCATAAAATTCTAACGTCTTTTCCAAAGCTAAAACTTTATTCTATCACTAACTTATTGACAATATTTGAGATATATCGTATTTTTAAAGTATGCTCTTTATTTTAATGCGTATAACACCTTGAAATTAGTTTTAATTTTTTTAATAGCACAATTCGGACCTATTGGAACGTTCTTAGCACTAATCTAAGTCGTTACACTATGTACTTGGCTTATCCCGTTTTTCGTTTGAATAATCTAGGTTTATAGTATAATTTAGAGAGATTTATAAAATGAAAACTTTTAGTAAGCATACAGTAGACGCGTGATCATATAAAGGAAACTCCAGCTACATATTATTATTTAGTGCAAAAAGTATTTCTGAAACATAATTATGTACGAAACTGGACAAAGATTCATCAACTGAAAATATAAGAGTTAACTTAATTGAACAGGGACAGGTCAACTTAAAAGGAAAATTTTAACAAAGATATAATTTTCCAAATAGAAGACAGCTGTGTTATGATAATAATATTTCAGTTACAAGTAAAATTACTACAAAACAATATACATTAAAGATGTATGCATAAATTATTCACAAATCGCGATTGTTCATTTTTATAAAGAATTTCAAATGAGAAAATAAATAGTTATGTGTCTGAATCGAACTGAAAAAACACAAATTACCCCGGGGTAATCGTTAACAATGAAACAGACTTTACCCACTTTTTATATGGGTGTGAATGTAGATTACCCTGAAACAGAATGAACAATCACACAAAATGTACTCTTTTGTTCTCGCCTCACATTATATGGGTTAGCTTTTGTACTATCGCCTAGAAATTTTGATGTATATTAATGCTTTTTATTTCATTTTCATTCGTTTATCAGTTTTTCTCTTATAAGAAGATAATTTGGTTTGGCAATATTAAAACTGACGTTATTTCTAGGAAGGAAGATATTGGGAGATTATCATTTTTAAATGAATGAATAAACAGATAAGTACCTAGTATTTATATTCAACTTCATCATGATATTACTAATGAGGTTTTAAATTGAATTATGAGTGAAATTGAGGTACGAAAGAGAGTCGTATCAATCAAAATTATCGTATCGTGTACAGTTTACGATTACTATTTTCTGATTCAACAATAACGTTCCCAACATAATAATACCTATACTAGTACAGCTCAATTGACGAATAAATAAATAGTCCTCTATCTACGAAACCCCCTTTTAAACTAATTTTTCTCTCAACACTTTGAGTAATAAAAAAGGGTTTAAAGGGGATCCCTTAAAAAGTAGGTAAAAATATATGTACTTATGATGTTTTCATAACTAAATATACCTTTTAGCTTCCAGTATCTAATTATCTATACTATAATAATAGTTAAATGAGAAAATATATAAAAATTAACTGGCTTATTAGTTATTAACAAGAAACTGTTAATTTAACTTTTTATCAACCATATATTACCATATATTACTATCAACCATATAATACTTCATATACATTAGAAACAATGTTTTTATTTAGTACATCTAAAAAAAATGGATGGATTATTACGAAACATTAGTGGCGTTCGCTTAAAAAACACAATTTATTTTATACTCAAATGTAGTAAGAACAAAAGAACTATCTAAGATCAGGAAGAGTTACGTAATAATAACAGGAATAAACGAATAAAATAAGATAGATTGAATGTATAAACATGTATATTATTTAATTTATCCAATGCATATATGTTTGTATAAGTTTTTATTCAAACACTTGAAACTAGTGTATGTATCTGTGTGGTAGCTTGTTGAATATCACGCAAGTCTCTGCAAGCTGTCATAAAATGAATTCGGAATATCCAAGCTGTTCTGTAGAGAGGTTCTGAAGGTGCCTGTGGACCGGCTGTGCAGGATATTGGTTTTATGCTAATATAATGTAATAAACATGCGCTAGACGCTCCAATACGAAGGAGTTGTCGACTCTCATATTACCGTTCGGCTGATAGTGATTCAGCTTTCTGTATTGTTTGGATGACCTTTGAAATACATACATACATATATATATATCTATATATGTATAAATATAATATGTATAAGCATATTATATTGATAACAGTTTGTTGACTAGTTTCGTTTGATCAATTAAAAGGTTTTTTCTTATTGGCATTTTCTATTATGTAACTATATATTTTAATCCAATAGACTAAAATGATATGTTCAGTTTTAAATGGGAATTTGATATAATCAATACTTTATACCTTTGTGAGCAAAAATACTAAATGTTTAAATAAATAAATAAATCTTTCGAATATTTATTAAGTGAAAATTTAATATATAACACTTGGATTCACACTAATGCCGTATTAATAAATCGTAATTTATTAATGATTATTAACATAATTAATTACAACAATTTTTTTAAATATAACTTTCCATATTTATATTTCCAGCAAATTCTTGTATGTATTTAATTTTTCTTATCATTTATTTTATGTAGAAGGATAAATTGTAAATACTGACTTCTGATAAGCTCTTTACTCTATCCCCAATCTTAATATCAGTGAAGATGCTTGAGGCTTCTCATTTTCATAGATGAAATCGGAGAGAAACCTTTTATTCCGGCAAAGCCTGATTTATAAATGATTAAGGGATTCCTGGCTTCGGAAGAAAATATCTTTTATAATCATTTGTTTACATACAAAATTACTTTATAATTTTAATATAAAACTACTTATACACACACACACACACACACACACACACACATATATATGCATATATACATTTACTTTAAAACATGTCTATTATGCACAAGTTAATGTCCAATCATCATTTACAATAAAGACTGCGACGTTATTTTTCAAAGTGAATCAACAAAAGTCAAAGCGTAATAATTGAATAAAAATATTCATTTCATTAAGGCGATTTTATATAAAGACGATGTTAAGATAAATGAACAATTCCCTATCTCTTTCTATCACTTGTATTTAGAAGATGACAGATACAACAGCTTTATATCTTAGATTGGCACTCGTCTAAGAGTATTCGATAAAAGTGCTTCACTTATATGACCATTCAGTCTGAATTAATTTACTTCAAAAGGCTTTATTGTAAACGTTTTTTATATTAAGTAATACTTAATTAGCTTAATTTATATTCTAATGTAAAATTACTATCAAAATTTACGTTGATTTTATTTATATTAAAGTTGAACTTGTAGTTTTATCTGTATCAGTAATTTATTTTTTCAGTGTCAGTATTTCATTAAACTATAATTTAAATATATAAAGTGGAGTACATATAACAAACACATTTACAATATATTTTCTTTCGTCTTGGCTTGCAAGTGAGGGCATTGCTAGTAGCAGATAAATTAAAGTTAATTATACTAAAAGGTTTTATAAGGATAATTATGTAGTGTGTTTTTGTTTTACACCCTTATCCCTTGTCAATTAGCCGCAGGTTATGAAATGTAAATATCACAAAGCTCAAAAGCCTTAGCCACAAAACATTTAGGAATCAAGTAAAAGTAAGACCTCATATTTTTTACGAATGCTAAATCATTATCCTCTATTAAATCAAGTGGTTTATAATATTGTGGTTTATTTGATACTAGTTTTTGGATGTGACTTCGTCCGCATTAACTAACTAACTCTGTTCTTTCTCAGAGGCAGAAAATAAGCAGATTTTGAGTTTAATCAAATTATTTTTTTATCTTTTTCAATAGAACAGGCTAAAAGCCATCCTATGTAAGTAGGTACGTCTTCTGTTTCTATGTTATCTCCACAATATTTTTTAGCCAAATCGGTTCACCCGTTTTTAAGGTAATTTATACCTCTAACCAACTTGATTTTCTTTATATGTAGCGACATTTTAAACATATAGTATATGTATATACCTAGTATATAATATATCCTTTTAATATATCTTCTCTTTCATCCCCTATATTGGTTCCTAGTAAGCGACACAAAAAGTGAACGCAGAAAGAAATGTACAAGAAATTTCAAGTAAGTTTGCAATTAAAAATAAAAAGCGAGAGACTCTTTGTCTTTAATCCCTTTGAACTCACATTCCACAAAGTGAGCGAAATGAGAAAAAATATATATCCATGGATTGTTTGACTTAATCTCTGTTAATTAAGGAGAACTTAAAGTTTTTTTCTTTATACCATGATCTCATTTCTTGTCAACGTTTTGTGTACATCATATAAAAACGATATTTGTACTTCCCTTTCGTATTTTTGTTAAAATATAAATATAATACATTTATTTAATACTTCTACATACTATACTAACACTTCTAATACTTTAATAATTTCTAGTCGAAGCATTCAAGTAGTTATTGTTGCTTGTGAGTTTATTTCCATATTTATTACTTTTTAAACTACAAAGATAAAACTTATGAATATTTAAAATGAAATCACTTACATACTTTTTGGAAACTAACACATACAGAGAGGTAGATATGTATGTCATGGGACATCACACCACCCTACTTAGCAACTGTTGTCAAACTCTTGAGATGCTAAAAATCTAGAACCTTTCTGCATCAAGTAACACATGTCCTTAGTATCATCAACCTACTCGTGCGTAGCCAGTATCACAAGAACCATTTAGCTACCCATATTTCATTCTAAAACCATACGTGAAGTGAGTGAAGTAAATAATACTGAATGAAAAGGCAACAAATTAATAATAATATATGTATAAACAACATAAAAAACTAAACCCATAGTTGAGATTAATTAAGAATAATATTCCTTCACAATTATTATCACATCAGATACTAACTTTATTGTGATTTCAGACTATGGCTTTTTATGCATTGGGCAAACGATTGGAGTATTGATACATACACAAAATACCTCTTCCAAAATAATTGGTAATAGTTGTCAAACATTTAACATCATGAAGTTGAGACAGATATCATTTTAAGCATTTGAATAACTTAAAATAAATTTCCTGTAATTAAATTTAGGAATAATATATTTGAACACCTGTTATAATTAACTTAAACTGACGTATCCACATAAATATGAATAATTTCGCAGCTTCAGTAATACTAGTCTAATTTCTACAATAGTTTATAAAATATATTAAATCAACTGTTATTTTAATGTTTATTTTTGAAAGAATATAGGGAAAAAACACAAAAAGTGTTATTAGATTAATAAAAAAATGTATTTTGACATTGAAATTGACGTCTTTTAAAAATGTCTGACCTTAAACTGACTCACTAAATTGATTAACAGAGTTTTCATTAGAGGTAAACATTTTCTTTATATTTTATTTCTTTTAATACAAAAAGGTATTGTTAAAACGAATCCTGTCAATGACTAAACTCTTACGTACCAATTGTTTTGCAACAAAACAAATAAATGGGAATAAAAATTTGAACTGAAACTCGTTGAGTTGTAAATTTCTTTAGTAGATGAAATAAAATAAAAAATTACATGTATTTTTTTTTTAAATTGGGTTTTTGGACTGAAAATAATATTTAATACTACGAAACGATTGAACAAATTAGATGTACCTTCAACTTCAGTGTCGAAATCAGTATAAAATAGTGCAGTCATTTGCGTGCTATTGAAATAAAAAACCGTACATTCAACCAAATTTTTATTGGATTTGTAACCAGACTGATTGATTGATTTTAAAATATATTTTAAAGACGAAAACTTTTCATCTATCTATAACACGTTTTACCCAATAAAGGTCCCTTTATACCAAAATGAATACCCTTATATATTATTCAAATCAATTCGGTTTCAAGATAATGATGTTGCTTTTAAAGTTAACGTCCGTAATACAGGAAAATAAAATGCTTGTGAGTTTTTATAAGGTAATCATCTAAAGTAGGTGAACTGAGATCGGGGCACCTCCTTAGTGCCGCCCAAATATTTACAGGCGCGGGGCTGAGAGGGCCGGGGGGAGGGAGCAGCGCGGCCATTCATAAAACTAAGCCCGATCGATATTGCGTCTCATGAAATTCCCATTCGACTTCAATTACATTTCTTCCAGACAACGTCCATTGCCTCTCTCCTATTACCCATAATATATGAACGTTTCCTTGTCAGCAATGGATTGTGAGCATGGCTGATCCTGTGCAAATATTTCCCTAAGAACGGTTTGTCTTGACGTCAGCTTTACTGAAAGCTGCAAATGTCAGCGAAATCCAAATATGAGATTCAGGGACATGTTGGCTAATGTTCGATATATTATTAAATAATAACACAATTCATGAATTAAATTTACTTGAGAGAAATGTTTTAATACTCTACGACTTCTAATGGATTGACATTAATTTATTAAATTTATATATGTTCACTTTTAAGTGACGGGATTCTTTATTTTTATTACATACATAGTATAAATGTTATCGAAGACTTTTTTTCATAGTTTTATCTGATTTTGAAAATGTTTGTAATGTGAGTTTCTTCCGGAAGATTAATAAATTAACTGTGTTTAACAACCAGGAATAGGAGATAGATAAAAGCCACTAACGCGATCATTGGTTCCGACAAAGTTGTGAATAAAACATTTGTATTTTAATAAGTTACAATTCTTACGAATTCTATTGTTATATAATTTATCTATATCTCTTTTAAAAGGCGACCTATCTTTATAATCCGGAGTCCAAACAGTACTTGTTTGAAGGATTCGTATTTCGCAACTTCTGTTTCGGATAGATAACTCGACCAAGGAGAATGGTTAAAATAAACAAGTGTAAGGTTTAAGTGGCGATAAAATCAACAATGTAGACAGTGACACTATGTTAATCTGTTGTGTAAATTTCTTAATAAAATATTACCACTTACCAGTGTTACGATACTTTTTAATCATTAGTACCTACTTTTATGATTTTAACAACATATATTCATTAAACTGAATATACATATCTCAAAATGAAGGGAAATTAAAATGTATTTTAATTTTGTAGCCACTTGGTATTATAGCGATATTGTAAAAGATTTTTTTGGTTTTGATTTTTTTTCTATTAAGTTTCGTGGAGCCGTTGTTATAATATTATAATACTTCCCAACACATGACCGACCTCGAATCTGTGTCCCACCATGTGTAATACGATGCAAATTTCTCTTTGTCCATTTGTTTGCATAAATCTCAAAAAGGCCGGCTTTTTTTCTTATATTCAGTCCCATGGAAGGGTCTCTTAATTTGCATGTCAATGAAATTTTATCATTTGATGTAATGAGTTCAAATAAAGCAGTCTTCACGCTGTGTCCGATAGATTGTAAAACAGTAAATATATTATTTTCTGTTATTCGTGCTATATTAAACAAACCGAGAGGTGTGGATTTAAAATTCACTCAACCTAAATTCCTAACCGGAATTTAGTCACGTTTACTTTCTCGACCTTGGATAAAGAACTTTCTGGCCCAAGAGATATAGTATGAAGTGCTCTCAACGAGAGTGTACCTGAACGGTTCCATCTGACGGAACAGCCTGAATAGAAGCTGGTTGACGAGCGAGGTGTTCGTCATCTCAGAACACTTCATAACCCTCCCACCTCTTGGTAAAGTGACAGCGTGACTTTTACGAATCATTTTATTATACAAAATAAATCCCAACATAAGTTTTAAAACAGAATAAATACTGTCATTTCTGTTCAAATTTTATAAATACATTTGAAAGTACATATGAAGGAAAAGCAATTTATTTAATTTATACGTATGTTTCAACATGAGCCAGACATAAATACAAGTCATTGTAATTATGATTTTGGGTTAGATCGATACGCGGAAGGTTTTACAACTTGTGGTCCGGTGATTTATAGAAAATTATATTATGGTGTTTAAAATTATGTATTGCATTATAAGAATCTGGGTAATGCAAAGTTAGTAGTAGTCACATGAACTTTCTTCTATTTTATAAAAAGATCTTAATTTAGAATTACGTAAATTAATAGAAAAATGTTTAAATACTGATTAAACTGTAGCTCCTTTAATAATAATCTTAAATCCAATATCTATAGGATATTGTAATGTATTACATTGTTTATTTAAATGTACGTTGTTCCCAGCACGAATGCCGTTTCATTAAGCCAAACCGCATAATACCGTTACGAATGTACCCAAATAAATGTAAATCCTCAAGCGGCTTTAAAATAGCTGGAATGACGTCACCCAGGCCATCCCACCTTTTATAGGCTTAGGATTTCATTTGAAGACACCCACGCTCACCTTCAATAGAAAATTTTTAAATATTAAGTAATATTGCGAATGGAATTGATATTAATATAAAATTAAATGCACCTTCATAAATTTTATAACTATGTACATGAAGTTCACAGTCCAAAGTAAAATATAAGCAGTCTTAGAAATTTTGAATTGAACAGTTCGAGCACTAATCATCTGAATATTTAAATAATTAATAATTGTGGATCGTTAAAATATAAGGTCTCACCTACATTGCCACCTTCCTAGTCACCTATGCAAGTGCAGTCAGAGCAATGAGTGGTGGTTGGTATAAATAAAGCCAGGGGTACATATAGATTTTAACATTCTCGCTTGAGCCGTTGTGGGGAAGAGTTCCCTTCGAAATTATTCGGATTCATCAAACCATCTACAAGGTTATATTAAAAGGCTCGACAACCTAATAATCATAAGGCATTGATGACGTCATAATGTTTAAAAATCCACTAGGGTTATACTAAATCCGACATATATAAATGACACTGCCACACTGGTTACTAAGGTCGCTGTTATCAATCAGATATCCGGAGTAAATCCTATGGCAGGCCATATCCTCGACTAACAAGGCAACGAAGACTAGAGATATACTTATTGTTTTATATTTCAACGACAGTCAAATTTAAACTTGTAATTTAACAAGTAAATTATGCGAAAAATAAGAAAATGTATGAAAGACTGCACAAAATAATAAAATTCAGAAAGAAAAGCTTACATTTCCACCTAAATTGTTTTTTGTCAATTTGTTAGTTGAATTTCGGGACACCTTTTTAATTTTTTAACGAGTAAGTACACTGTTTATTATATATTAACCACAAAATGTTTTAAAAACATTTGATATTCAATAGAAATCAGAATAATTGAAATGTATAAACACAATATTTATAGATGAGTGATTCCTACCACTCCATTGTATTAACTGACGATTTCTAAGAAATGTTTTCACCTTACGCAATAAAGTAAAGTCGAGTTCATAATTTATCGTTGGAGGTAATATATAATAAAAATACTGAATAATATTAAATAATACGAATAATATAAGGCAAAACAAATAAACAGAATAGAATTTTCTCAAGATTTTTTTGAAAGGCATTCAATGAAGAGGCGCTACATAGCTAAAATTAGCCTCGGTTGTAATAAAAACATTGTCTATTCAAACGGCTGATTTTCTACTCTCAAGTTTCCTAGAATTTCAAACCATACATAAAAATAACGAATTACTTTAAAGGACGCCGCCTTCACAGAATTGGAGATCTACGGTTTGCAATAAGACAAAGAGTTAAGCTGCGAAGGCAGACAGCAAAAAAAAGTTAATAGAAAGAAAACATAGCACGACATGAAATAAATACAAAAGGGTAAGTATACGAGTATGTATTGATGTAGCCACACAAAAATTAAGTCCTGACTTTTATTACCTGAAATGTTCGTGAGCCATCATCTTTTTTGGCTCTGAGATATGAAAATTTTATCTACCAAAAGAATTCTGACCTTCTTGATTTGATCTCATTCATTTGAGAGTCTCAAGGCGCTTGATTAGCCCAGTATGCTGACAAAAGTGTAATGAATTAATAAATGACAATGCTCTATTAAAAATTACATAAATTTCCCTGGAGCAGACATCAGATAAATTAAATTACAACGCTAAACCGAGAGCTGCCGCGGAATTGATGAAGTTAAAATTCAAATGTACTTGATAATAGAGGAAAATTAAGGAGAACCTTTAAATCTCTCTATAGATTTGGAGTCAATGAATATGCTCTGTAACTAATATTTCTTATATTTTACTTTAAAACATAAAATTTTATTAAACATATTTTAAAAATCCTCTAGGCGATTATTGTCATTTAACGATTATACTGCCACGTGTGAGGTGCTTAATCGGATAATCATACGCTTGAAATACTACATCATTATTTAAAATGCTGATTATCTTTCTTTGGTAGATTGAGCACCAAAACATAGTCAAAAATCGACGTAATAAACTCTACTTTTGCAATAAAAACACCGCCTCGAAATCGGTCAATTAGTCACAATTGCACTCAAGCACATACGGATCCAAGAATGTAAGCCCACACTTACCTAGTTAAAAGACAGGGCTACAATAATATTTAGTTATTGCTATAATATATGTAGGGTATATTTCTTATCTTCTGTTATATTTTAGTATGTTTGGCGATATATAATATTTTCCCTTTTAATCCTTAAAAGTCCTATCAAAATCAATGCAGTTTATTCCTAAATCTAACGAAACGAACGAAGCGAACGAGGCAGCCAGACAAAAATGCGAGTATAGAAACAAATCTCTATTGGTTTGTATATCTCATTCAATGGGTATCAATCATCTGTACATAAAGTTTACAAAAAGTATGATTAGGTTTTAACAAGGGTGATAGAAAATTTTATTGAAATATTTCAAATTGAGTGACCTACGTAAGTGCAAATTTTTCCTTCATTCCATAATTTAGAAAGCTCTCCTCATTAATATATATTTTGAATTATGTTGAAATAAAGAAGAATATAATCAAGATTATATAAAACATATATATTTAATAGAATCACATATTAAGAGATGTCAAGCTAAGAATTCCCGTTTGAGAGTTCAAACAGCTATTTCTATTACACTTATTGAAAAACATGGCTACCTTCCGGACGTTGTTTCCAGACATTAAAATACGGTAAGTTTGGTGAGTTGAATATATTAACTAGCCACAAGAAGACGTCTTTATACTATGACAAGTTCTCTAAGCAATGCTTGAGAGATATAGATAGAAAAAATATATCTATTTTTTCTTTTTTAGAAATGGAATGTCGTTTTTGAATAATTTTGTTATTGGCCTTTTTTTAATTTTTTAACCAGTATTAAATTCACACAAGACAGTAATTCCAAAACGCATTAAAGAAGGTTTTAATTAAATATGATTAAGAGTTTGAATTTGATATTGAATATGACATATATTTTAATTATTTTCCATTATCTGGTGGGTTTTTTTCATTCAAGTTCCAACCTAATTAAGTTGCTCTTGACGGGTAATGAAGAGATTTTAATTGGTATAAAGAAATATCTTAAGTGAAGTTAAATATTCTTCATTCATTTTTCCATTTCCTTTTATATAGAAAAAGGGAAGCGTTTTTGCTAATGCCTTAGTCGGTTTTCACTAAGCAGTATCTGTCATGGTAAAAAAAATATCTTTTCTAAAGTGACAACAAAAATTATAATAATTATATTTACTTTATTTATTTTCACATAGATACTATAATTATTAAAACTTCGTTATGATGATGCCGATAATGAAGTGTAAAAAATTACTGATGACAAATTTATGCGAAAGGCAAATTATAATTTTATAAAGTATATGTAATATTAATAAAAATTTAATTTTTATAAATTTTATACTTAAAATATTTAGTTTATGTATTTTTTTAATGAATATGTTTGTTTTATAAACTTAATTTTATTTATGTATTTATATTTTATGAACGTGTACCAGGTTGAAGTAGTTTTTGTTGAAAGGATTTTTTAAAACTAACGAAGACGCTGAGATCTCTTTTATAATATAATCTTCAAGAGCTTTGCATTTCTGATATCCATACTTTTATATTTTAATGCTGTACGTAAAGAGATGATGCCTTTGAGCAATATTATAATACAAACGTTTTAATTATTTTCTATAATGTATGTATGGCTCATATTGTCATAATTGGTAGTTTCTTTAAAATTTTGGTTATTTAAGTATGAAATACTAGCTTTCCGCCCACAGCTTCGCCCGCGTGGAGTTCGGTTATATCGCGTTTCCAAGAGAAATTTTCAAAAGTTCGAGATAAGAACTATCCTATAGTCTTTCTCAAGGTCAACGCTATCTCTGTACCAAATTTCATTAAAATCAGTTCAGTGGTTTAGGCGTGAAAGCGTAACAGACAGACAGAGTTACTTTCGCATTTATAATATTAGTAGGGATTATTTTTTTATACAAATCATATCCGCGTAAGAAGACAGCCTTGAATAAAAAAAAGTAAGAAACTGTATCTTAAACATACAAAGTTCCTATAAAATGATTAAATAACTTTGTTTTACAAAGTAACATATATATGTACATATTTTTTTATTAAAAGAGAACGTTAGAATTATACTAATTACGGATAAGATCTCCTGCTGGCATTATCTTAATATTTTTAATCTTTAATATTCAAGAACTACATTAAAAAAATATATCTGTTTTCATTCAACTGTCTAATTTTCTGATCTATAAAAGATATTTAGATTATATTTCAGTTATAGATGTTTCTGTTTTTGTTCAACTCGAAGTAATTTTTTATAACAGTATAATTTCTCTTCCGTAATCCTCGCAGCATTTCCT